CTTCACGTCACAATTGTCAATTAATTGGCTCTATGATATAGAACATACTAGTGAGCATTCAACAAAAGATAAACAAACTAAAACAAAGCCCATTGATATGTTCTATATAGGTGGCACATAGGCTCGATTACCAAACGGCTGGTAATCTAGTCCAAGCAGGTGACCCCTCCCAGGGGCGGCGCTAGCCCTCTTCGCGTGGGGGGGGGTGAGTGATCTTTTACCGATTGTTGTTTGGTAATTTTGCCGAGTCATTAGCCTATAGTGAGGGTCCTGAAGGGGGGGGGGGGCAATCCCAATTTCCACCTGAAATTTTGGCAAAATCCCAGTCCCAGTTGGATTTTTAAAAGAAATCCCAGTCCGAGTTATTGAAATCCCAGTCAATAAAAAACCCTTTATTTATCGGTAGAATAAACAGTTTTAAGACCTTTTAAGCCACCGTGTGTGCAAGTGGCGGACATTTTATGAAATATTGGGGGGGGCGAGGCACGTGCCGAAGGCACGGAAAATGTTTAAATTTGAATCCCGGAAATGGCATTTGCATCATTCTGAGACACGCATAATCAGAAAACCCAAAATTCCTGTCCGCATCCATTTTGCAGCCCTCGAAAAGTCAAGATCTCGGCATTTCTTAACATCTGTTCCACGTTTTGGAGGACTATTAATCACGTATTTACGAATCATTGAAATCGGAATATAACTGGAACGTTACCTCCAGCCGGAAAATTCGAAAGTTGGAGCCAAATTTTAACTCCAGACGCGCGAAATTTGATCTTCAAACATCCAACGTATATACACAATACCCGTCAGTTTTTAAACCTTACACCGCAGTGTGTTCGCTTAATCGAACTACGAATCGAATTCTATAATCGCTGATCGTGACATTTTAAAACTTATCAGCATAAAAATTCTTACTTTGGTTGAATTAAGGTGGGCAAAAATTTGCATTTAGCCCGGCATTGCCGAATGCCGACCTCGTTTTCGAGGACTGATTTTGCCACGTCTTGCTGACGTAATAAGTGATACCGACAAAGGAAAAAGGCCGCTTCGTGCGAGAAAATTCGCTGATGGAAAACCGACTTTATTGCCTCTTTTATAGAACAGTATAATAAGCAACAACAACAACAACAACAACAACAACAACAACAACAACAACAACAACAACAACAACAACAACAACCAAACAAATTTAATTACCTAATTATGATTTCAATAATATTATGTTTTTGGACTAGCTGCCAGAAGTGAAGATACTGTATTCGAAAAAATTTGCATTGCTGCATGTGTGGTTTCTTTGATGCATGCTATTCGTGATATTCGGTTTGAATTCAATTATTCAGGAGGTCAATTTTGGTTTCTTCAGTGGTTATCTTTAGCCAATCCAGTTTTGCCGACTGAGATAACAATTTGCCGATTAGCTGACGAGTGGGGGGGGGGGGGTATTCCACCCCTGCCCCTCCCTCTTGATTTTCTACAATTCTTTCTACGTAGAATAAAATTAGGCTTTAAACCCTCAATCCTGAAATTTCTGTGGCAGTAAAATTTTTCTTGTAAAGCCAGTAAAGGATTTATTATGATGTATGGATAATCAAGCAGGAATTCTTCATATATGTTAATATGTAAAGCGTGCAGCACGTATTATTCTAGACGCTGATTTTTCTACTCCTTCTGTTTTTCTTTTTTCCAGATTCGAATAATCCCAATCTTTGATCTTGTTGAATTTAGGAAGCTTCTCTTACTAATTAACATTCTCACAAATCTCAGTGCTCCATCTTCATTTTAAGCAAATGTTAAAATTCTTATCTTCTATTCGACAACGGGCTCTGTTTAGAGATTGCGCATATGACCTTGAACCCCTCTTCCCGCGTACTGACTCTGGTAAACGAACATTTCTGTACAGTGCTTCCATTCTTTTTAATTGCTTAGATAGCGATTGTAAGCAACTTGCTGCTTCGCCATCTTGCTCTTCATATACTAACGCCAAACAAAAAATTCGTAAAATCTTCCTTAACAAGCTTAACCTTACTAACCATATCGAAGATCTATTTTGTATAAATTGTAAATATTTACTAAGTTGTAATTGTATTTATTACTAATTATTATTTTCTCAAACGTAAATAGTCGTAATCTTTAATACTTTTTATGCCTGTAAATATCAAAATAGTGCGAGGGCCGTAGGCTAGATAACTTTTACGGTTAATACCTTTTCCCTAGCGAAATAAAGTTTCTATTCTATTCTATTCCATTCTATTCTATTCTATTCTATGACTTCTTGGGAAAACTAAGGAATTTTAGACTGCTTGCTAGGGAATTTTCTTGGCGTGAGAGCTGTTGCTAAGCAACGCAGTATTTTCAAAATGGCGGCGGATTCGATTAAATTAAACTGTAATTCTATAAAAGGCATTCTGAATAAAAAAAAGAGATGAAATTATCCAAAAAAGAAGCCAAGGATCTGCTAAACAGAGTCTGGCTGCCAGGTGAACTATTTCTATAGAATAATGTGGGAAATTTTCTTATATCTCAGTTGTATTAAACGACGGTATATACGTTTGTTTCTAAATTTTTATTTTGTCTTTTGAATGAATAAATGTTTCGTTTTTTTAGTTTCTTCTAACCAAGCAACAGTCTTAGCGGCAGACACAAAGGATGCAAGACAGGTATATTTTTATTCAGTACATAATTTAACAAATTATATGCCAACTGAACTATATATTTTATAGGTGTATTGTATCATTAATATTAAATTAAATATTTAGGACATTTGAGAATAATTGACAAAATTAGAACACAAGTAATTTGTATTGATTCCATTATTTCCTTCGGGTCTTGCACTACTAATATCTAGGCCAGAATAATGTGTCATGTACGTGTGTTTTGGTGTCAAATTTTGAGATGTCAGATCTGGAAAGCTCCTAAGTCTGGGGCAAGGGTAACAATATGACCCAGCTATTTACACCTGGGAAAAGGAAAGCATTAAACGTGAAGTCTAATGTTCATCAATAATTGTGTCAGACACATCTCAAAAATGTGACTGTTTGCCAGGAGTGGTATAAACAAGATTTCAATCTTCAAAAACAAATATTTGGCTTCGTAGCTCAGTTCCAGTTTGCAGAACGTGTCACTAGCGTACCCGAGGGCAATTTCTTGTTGCAATTTTAGCGCACCTAGCCTAAATGTTCCTCGTGCCTTAGCTCCCAGGGTGCACTTGACATGTATAATGATGTAGGGTGTCTATACAAGTAAGCTATTACAGACCACATGACTTGAAATGGGTTAATTTACATACAAGCTTAGGAGGTCTATTAGCAACCGCAGAGGTAAATTGAAAGTATTTCCAGGGCATCAATTTACAGTAATATCATGCTGGACGAAACACATATTTTTTGAAACATAACTATAATTATGATAATCAATGCGTTAGGCATATACAACTATCTGGACTGTTCACTGTTGTAGTTATATAATACACAGGGTGTCTCAAGTAGAACCGAACTCAAAATTAGACAAGCGATTTCGCGTAAATTAAGTCATAACTGCGTTCAATTTTTTCATATTAAGAAACTTACATTTGTGTTCCTGTTCCATAACTTACATTTGTGTCCTGTTCCTACCTCTTTATCGCAAACTGCACATGTTACTTCTATAGCTTCCGCCATTTTCTTTCAGGAAAAAATTGGCGCGAAAATATCAAATCAGCTTACGCAATACGCATTCTTCAACTCAGGTTACTGCTCAGTGGGTTACTGTCTAGCGCGTATTTGGCCACGCAAGAAAAGATATACGAAAGAGTGGACCGTGGGGGGAAAGACAAGAGATAAGCCGCTGATAAATTGTAATTTACTATTTCCCAGCCGGCGGACCGGCGGTGACACACCTTGTCACAAAAAATTCGCACCTACAGCATTTTTTACAATTTTTCAGGTGCGCACCTGACAGTTTGAAGCGCACCTGCACTTGAAATTCTTGGTATATCGCACCCGAGATCTCGTCGAAATGTGCCACGTTCTGCAAACTGGGCTCAGTTGGCAGAGCACGGACTGGTACCATATGCCAAAGCCCGCAGATTTGATTCCCATCGTGGTCTTTAGTTGTTGATTGTTAATTCTAATTCTGATTCAGAGAATAGAGTTCACTTTTTTATACCCTCAGAATTACCTGAATTTACCTGGAAATCAACCTGAAATTGCTCATGAGCAATTACTGCCATTTGCGTTCAAGCTTGCAGCGTGCGAATTTTTTCACGTTTGTTTACGTTTCAAACGTAACGTTTCAAAGGTTATCATGCCCGTTTGGAAGATGAAATGAAATCGTTTGAAAATATAAAATTATTGATTGTGGAAGCAAGAATTTACTTTTATTTTTGTATTCTCGTGATTCTAAATACTGTACAATCAATTACTTACATTTTGTAGCTGAATTTCAGGGATTTACAGCATAAAAATGTACAAACGTCATTGAAATTTAACAAAACATGACATATTATGTAATAACCGTTGCATGGTTCAAACGGTCACTTTCATTGGTCAATAGGCAATTCCAGCTTTTAGTTTATGCGTGCAGGGGACGATGGGAAGTAAGGTATCACATTGCTGATTATATGCTAAAAAATAGAAATGGTGGCCGTGTAAACATGGAGTGAGAGCTTATACTTGTAAATATTGAAATGTTTCGGTAGTTTTTATTGAACAGCACTATGATACCTTACTATCAGCACTATTATACCTTAATTACTTCCCATCATCCCCTGCAGACATGAACTAAAAGCTGGAATTGCCTATTAAAGGACATAATTACCTGGAACGTTGCTTTTAAAACGTAAACAAACATGAAAAAATTCGCACCCTGCAAGCTTGAACGCAAATGGCAGTATTGGTGGTGTTGCGCCCCACACCCTCGGTTGCTACGGCCTTGCGTCGGCAGCTCAGTTTGTTAGAGCGCTGATTCCATCCCGCAGGTTCCATTCCTGCCAGGTGTCTAAAGTTGCATTTTTCACTTCTATCCAGGTAAGGTATAATGATTGCTGCGGAGTGAGCGAGCCTGAAGCGAGCGAGCGTAGCAGCAGCCTAATATGTGCAGAGAGGGGATTTTGAACTAAATTTTATTTAGCACATGGAATTGTGGTTGTGCGCGCTTTCTATGCGCAGAACACATTAAATTTTAAACTCGCTCGAGTCTTCTAAAGTTTTTTTCAATTCTAATGTTACGCTTACATTTGTTTTGGACTTTGGCCACTGTCAATTCTATATTTGTATAAAGTTTTGGTTTCTTAGTGTGATAAATCTGTGTATATAGTCTATATAATGTGGTAAATGTGACTACGTGTAGCAGTAAACAGACTTGATATGAAATCTGATCTTAATTTACCTGTATGTCAATGAGATGCACATGAAATCTGCTGTGCTGGTGTAATGTACTCAGGTGAATAAGATGTTTTTTGTGATGTTACTCTGAGTGTATATCCACACCAGGCAAGCCTGCCCGGTGTGGAGATGCACATGTTTAATATCTGTCACCTCTGATTGCCCTTTAACCCCTGGTTTTTGCTACTTCAATATATATTGTTTCTTCTCAGTTCCATTCACAGCTCACTGGTCGCTGCGAGTAATCACTGTGCTTGATATAATTTGTGCTGTTTACTGTAGTAGTTCTATTTGCTTTTAATGCCCGTGGCAATCCCTACCTTGCAGGTACCCTAGTTAATGAATGTATATAAATTTCCACTCAACAATACCTATCAAATAATCTTGTTCTGGCAATTCTACGCCGCCGAAGTCCCGTAATGGTGCGTGTAAGGTTTTGGTAATATCAAGTAGGAGAAATTAGCAAAATGCCAGTCATATATGGACTAATTAGTCCACTTCAGCATTAAGTGGAAAACAAGGATGTGCCTTCCCTTGACATGTACTCTTATGCCAAACAATTTCCTGTGGATGAGTAATACTGTCTGGTATTAAAAGGAGTAAAGTAACAAAGACGTTGTAATGGATTTGGGTATTGTTTTATTTTGCAGGCTATTTTGAGGGACCCAGAACATGAAGATAGGGAAACAGCAGCAGCAATTGAAATTCAAAGAGTGTATAGGGGTTACATGCATAGGTACGATCAATTAATAGACATATACTACTATTAATAGACTACGATAGTGTTAAAGGGCACTATAATTAATAAAGGAATACCGAATGTTTTCCGTGCAGGATTGCGTGATCCATGCACGCGGGATGTTGCGAGACTTTCGGAAAGTCGAGCAACATCCCAAGTGCATGGATCATGCCATCCTGCATGGGAAAACCATTTGGTAATTGTTTTATAAAATTACTACAGTGAAACGACGCTTAACGTGATTAAAATTACTGATGAAATGTGCAGTTCTCACAACATTCGTGAATTAACCAATCAGAGAATCGCTACTCCACGCTATCACAGAGTAGAGACATACAGAGACGTAACTAGTGTACCCACTTTTTTTGTGCGCATGCTCGGCAAGTTACTAGATGCATGCATCTGATTGGATGACGACTTGATGACGACTCATTTTAAACTTGCTGAGCACGCGCAGTTGATCATTTTTCGCCCGGTCGCCTGAAAAAAAGTGCGTAATCTTCCGCAGTGTTTACAACGGTCAGTTACGTCTCTGTATGTCTTATCTACTCTGTGACGCTATTGAAAACAACAACAAATGTGAACAGAATTTGATCGCAAATTCGCGAAAATATACAACGAAAATACAGGGACTTTTTCGATAAGATATACGAAATTTGAAATGGAAAACCCGCTAAACAGAGAGCCAAAGTAATATTGAAGATTCTCCAGCTGAATATGTGAAGATTGCGAAGCGTTTGATCAACTTTGAAGCGAGAGATGTTGTACTTACATGCCATGGTCTGATGAATTTCAACGCTATACGCGTTGCTACTTGCTGAATAGCAATGTATCGATCAGAAATTTATTCATACAACTAAACCAATGTCTCAATAATTGGAAACTTACTTCAAAGTCGAAAGGTATCGTACAATGAAACTTTACAATGCGAGTATATTTGTAAAATTATGTGCAAGAATTTCTGTTCAGAATTTCCCGTGCAGGATTGTCTGATCCTGCACGGCTGTTGACCAATCAAATTGCGTGTTTCACTGTAGTTATTATATTATTGTCTTTTCTTACACGCTTTACTACTATTGATAGACTACGATAGTGTTAAAGGGCACTATAATTAATGTCTTTTCTTACATGCTTTACTACTATTGATGGACTACGATAGTGTTAAAGGGCACTGTAATTAATGTCTTTACTTACTTGCTTTATCGCCATTTTTAGACTGTGAAATGCAGTTAGCATGCGCATAAGGGTTAAAGACATAACTGTATACTAGAATGTTAGAGTTTGTAATCCAAATGAGAATATATACATTTTAAGACCTACTGTAACCAGGAACGACTGCGAAAAATGCAGCACAAGGTCCTCTGGCAGGAATTGAACCTACTGTATACTACAAGTTATGTCTTTACCCCTTAAGCGCACACTCACTGCCGGCGATAAAGCATGTAAGTAAAGACATTATTGTGACCTTTAAGGAAAAGCCCTGACAACGGCAACTGTGGACAGCCGTTTTGCCCTTTTGGGGCTTAAAGGCCTGTTTAAACGGATCCAACATTGTTGGACCAACATCATCCAACAATGTTACTATAATAGATATGACTGCTTCTCTTTCAAATATTTTTGGTTAGATAAGCTTTACTCAAACTCTAAACCTACTCTTGACAAAAATATTTGAAAAAGAATCCGTTTGGGCCATTATTTCAACAATGTTGGATGATGTTGGCCCAACAATGTTGGATCCGTTTAAACAGGGCTTAACAGCACAGGGTAACCGGTGATAAGCTTCCACATCTGAGGAATCTGAGCTGTCCACAGTTCCTGTTGTTTGAGCTCTCCTTTAAAGGGCGCTATAATGTCTTTACTTACATGTTTTATCACCGTTTTTAAAGTGTGAAATGGAGTGAGCGTGCGCATAAGGGCTAAAGACATAACCTGTATATAAATTATCATTCAGAAAAATGTGAAGTTGAATATCCCTGATTTCCTCTGTAAAACTGACACTGAAGGGATAGAACAAAGTGTACATATTAGAGAGGTTGCAGTATTAGTGAGGTCTGAATATTAGGGAGGTGTTCATGTCAGAGAGGTATCTGTATTAGAGAGGTGTCGGCATTAGAGAGGTGTCCATATTGGAGAGATGTACATATTAGAGATGTACAGTACATATTCATTTAATTTAATGAATTCGTCACAATTTACATGCGTACACAAGCAAGCAATACTGACACTGAGACGTTATACATTCTTACAAATAACATGCAGCTGGAGAAAGGAACAGGACTTGCGTCCCAATTGACACCAATTAATTCAATGATCTAGCAAACTAACAAATGTGTGTGTCAACAGAGCCAGGTGGTCAGTAACATGCAGTCCTCGAAATTTTCATAAATCCTCGTCGGCAAAAAATTGCCCGATATTTTAGAGTTTGGCGGCAATTTCGACAGCATTTTTTTTTCTTTAACTTTTAGGATCAAATAGCTTTTTTTTTTCTTCTTAATGCTTAAAAAATAGAAGAAGTGTCCATATTAGTTAAATGTCCATATTAGAGAGGCTTTCATATTAGAGAAATGTCCATATTAGATAGGCTTTCATATTAGAGAGGCTTTCATATTAGAGAAATGTCCATATTAGATAGGCTTTCATATTAGAGAGGCTTTCATATTAGAGAGGCTTTCATATTAGAGAGGTGTCCACTGTCCATATCAGAGAAATGTCCATATTAGAGAGGCGTCCATATTAGAGAAATGTCCATATCAGAGAAATGTCCATATTGGAGAGGCGTCCATATTAGAGAAATGCCCATATAGAGAAATGTCCATATTAGAGAGGCGTCTGTATTAGAAAAATGTCCATATTAGAGAGGTGTCCGTATTAGAGAAATGTCCATATTAGACAGGTGGACGTATTAGAAAGGTGTTCATATCAGAAAAATGTCCATATTAGAGAGGCGTCTGTATTAGATAAATGTCCATATAAGAGAGGTGTCCATATTAGAGAGGCGTCTGTATTAGATAAATGTCCATATAAGAGAGGTGTCCATATTAGAGAGGTGTCCATATTAGACAGGTGGACGTATTAGAAAGGTGTCCATATCAGAGAAATGTCCATATAGAGAAGTGGACATATTAGAGAAGTGTCTGTATTAGGGAATGTCTATATTAGAGAGATGTCCGCATTAGAGAGATGTACATATCAGAGAGGTCTATGTCCATATTAGATAGTTGTACAGATTAGAGAAATGTCCATATTAGAGAAGTGTCCATATTAGAGATATATGTCCATATTAGAGAGGTATCTCTTCAACCTCCTGTACAAACCAATTCTGACTCTTGTCTTTTAAGCCCATTTTCTACGAGGCGAATTTGTTCGCGCGAAGCGAGAAACAAATCTTGGCAATGTGATTGGTCGGCGAATAAAAAATCGCTGCGAAAAAGTTGGATCAGTTCCTACTTTTAGTAGCGCGAACATATTCGCCAAGTGGAAAATGGGCTTTAAGGAGCATCCAGGATGCTAATTGTATCTTTCACCCCTTGTGTTTTAGATGCCATCTATATGATGCTCTACATGGTGGCATTTCACTTGAAACCCAAGGACCTCAGAGCTCGTACAAGTGGTCAGATTTGTCAGTCAACAGTTCTCAAGATTCGCAACATTCTGGAATCCCTGCCATTATTTGTAGGTCAGGCTCATCGCCACTCATTCCGGGACAGGTACTTCCACTGACATATACTGTATTTAAGAAATAGAGAATATTTTCCGTGTTTCTATATACAGTTTTAGTATAATTTCAGTACTAACAAGTAGCTTTCAGCACTCTGATTGGCTCCCTCAGCAGTAACTGTGACGCAATATAGTGAGCAGTAACTATAATCGCTTTTCCAAAAAGAAACTGGCAGAAAATCAGGCGGAAGTAAATTACATAATAGTTTTGTTTGTGGAAACACCACCAATTTATTACTGCAAAGCTTTTGATCCGTATTCCCGGATCTTCATCAGTGCTAATAATATGTGACTTGTTCAATCATGGATAATAAAATAAATGGATAGGAAACTAGCTGACGTGACCTAATGTTTTTACTGGGATTGATGGCGTGGTTGGATGCTTCAACCTAGTTGAAAATCAAATTCTCAAAAACGGCATGTTTAGCAATAATACAGCTAAATATTTTAGTCAAAGAGCAAATAAATGTAACCACGCCATTCTACGATGAAAACTCTAAGTATTCCCAGTCAATTTTAGCAAATATTTCAAGCACTAAACAGTGAAAAATGCATCGCAAATTTCGTTAAAATTTGTGACGCCAATTTCGTAGCTACAAATGTAAAAAAATACAAAACAAAGACGAAAAACATTTACCTTGAATACTTTGTCGTGGCTTAGGCATGTTTTTAAAACAATTAAGACCAGTTTACGCTTCAAGATCACCCTTTTAAAGTGGAAAAATATAGCAAAACAACAAATATGCCGAGAACTTTGGTAACATTCGCAATACGCGTAACGTCACGTTTTTCAACAAGGATGCAGTCAATGACGTCAGAACTTTCCAATCCATTTATTTTATTATCCATGATTACATCAAGTATTTCGCTCGTGTTACTTACTTAGCCTAGACTATTTAGACTATTTATCTTTACGACAATTGATATAGTACGTTCCTAACTGTGTTTCTCCTAATGAAAGGCACAGGGTGGATCATTAGCTTACCATTATTTGATCCTCATGCAAAAATGTGACAGAAAAAATATATTAGTTATTACACCAGTCCACATGCATGGAATTACCCATAATGTTATTAAATGACTTTTTAAGTACTATTTAAAACATCAGATAAAAGATACGAGGCGAAGCCGAGTATCTTTAGGTCTGATAAAATACGCACTGCGGATGTTTCAAATTGCTTCGAAAACAATCGATCTAATAAGTTCGTTGGTGAAGTAATTTTCAAAAAATTCGTTGTGTATTAAAGTCGAGAAAATCAAAGTTAAAATTTATGTAAATCAAGCGAAATCTCTTTATATAATAACTACAGTGAAACACGCAATTTGATTGGTCAACAGCCGTGCAGGATCAGGCTGTTCTGCACGAGGAAATAAAATGCCTTCGCAGGATTTTCGAGGGATCCTCAAAATGTCATTGTTTCACTGTAGTTATAATACCAAATGGTTTTCCACGCAGGATAGCGTGATCCATGCACTTGAGATGTTGCTCGACTTTCTGAAAGCGTAAAAATACACTCTTCTGCGGCTCGAGTGTTTCTACGCTTTCCGACTGCGACATCCCTCGTGCATGGAAAATCACGCAATCCTGCACGGAAAACCATTCGGTATTCCTTTAATTTAATCACATATAAAGATACAACACGCTTTTTGAAAATTCCGAGGTTGGAAAAAAAATGAAAATTTTTTTGAAAATTCCGAGGTGGGAAAAAAAATGAAATTTTTTTTTGAAAATTCCGAGGTTGGAAAAAAACTGGAAATTTTTCTGAAAATTCCGAGGTTGGAAAAAAAATGAAAATTTTTTTGAAAATTCCGAGGTTGGAAAAAAAATGGATGTTGATTGGTTGAGAAAAGTACAATTATTTCATTAATTGTACTGCAGTACAATTAATGATTTTCCAAAAACAAACAAAATGGCGGAAAGGTATTTTGAACACAAATGTGAAATGAAATTGCCCTTGGGGAACTAGATGAAAATACGAAAAAAAGCACCAAATTTTGCTTTAACAAAAGAACTAAATGGAAATACGAACAAAAGCACCAAATTCTGCTTGAATGTCTGGCAGGACTGGGCATTGGCGAGTGAATATGATGCTGTCATTGAGAAGTCTCCAATTTTGTCATGCGAATAATAAACAAGTAGTAACGGCGGCTCGTCCACTTTTGGCAAAATTTCCAAACATCACTCGTACTATTAATCCCTAATTGTACTCGCCATCGCATGATTACCTATACAAATTATTAAGAGGAGATTTTTTTGTATGTTACGTAACACGCGCTCAAAACTAATGCGTATAATATACCACTTGAGGTTATGACTAAATTCGACATTTTTATTTTTCGATACGTTTCTCGGTCGGCAAACAAACTTAAAAAGTATGTTTAGTGCTTTATCTGTAAAATGATGCTAAAATGAAGAGATTTTAGATGATACGCCAAAGAGAAAATGATGTTTGAAGTTCAGTAAGTTTTGCTTGTATGGCTGTAAATATGGCGTCAATTTTAAAGCATCATTGATAATTGTATTTTAAT